TGGGAGCTGCTTCCCTGATAAAAATTGTGTCGGGAAGCTCAGCAGAGGGTTACAAAAACTCGTCCAGGTCCTGAAGTTAGCTACTAACACCAGGGAAGTTACCCTCTTACACCAAGCGACGAAAACGTTTGAACCGAGATCAGCAATTATTTTATTGGGAGTGGTTGATCACCCGAATTAAAACTGGTATTATCACAAATTATTGAGCTAGGATTGAATTAACGATACCCTGACCTCAGCACTCATCCTTAGAGACCTTCCGGAATCTCGTGACCCTACTCTGACCAATGTTTGAAGCACCATCAGTTCATACTTGACTTACCGTATTGTTCTGCATGAGCAAGATCGAGAGCTTTTTCCGCATAGGGGTCGAGCAGGGGAATCACCTTCTTGTTCTTGTCCAACACTGGTTGGGGTGGTGCCATTAACCTAAAAAAGACACCCGGTATCTTAACCATCCACGAGGTTAGCCTCTCTAAGTAGGATGCGTCTTTCTTACGAACCTTGAAGGTGGAGAGGCTGGTGATGGATCGGAAATTCCGTAGATATTCTCGGCTCTGACTCGGAATTGATACGATTTGCCCAGTTCAAGATTTCGCACTTTACATACTGGTTCGGGAATGTTGTAGTCAAGCTAAAAAACTCAGGAATGGCCGTTGAATAGCAGGGGAGATCTAGAAGTGATAGTATCAAAAAATGGTAACCTACCAAAGTCCATTCTTTTTCGGGAAGTTCACGAATCTCGATGACATATGATACTTGAGGATAACGAGGTGGTGCCCGTTTAGTTGGGATCCATGAGAGGGTGAGGTAGTGACCGGTGACTTCCTTGATGAATGGGCCACGATCCGGTGGAGTTGGTAGACCTATAAAGGGCGCTTGACAATAATGCATACCACGGAGTGGAGATTTCAACTGCTCTTCGAATTTTTGCTACAAACATACAACTTTAAATAGGTTTTTTAATAGTATCGCCCAAGGTTTTACCCCACATCCCCACGCTCATACCATTGGCGAAGTCTGATCACCTATTCTCAAAATTTAGCGAATGAATGAAGCGGAAGTGATTAGTTGGACAAGTTATGACTTACTACAACCAAGGATAACTCAAAGAGTCATTTGAATGTATGGCTAATTCCAACTTACTGGCATAGTTAAGTTTCTTGAAGCCGTATTCCTCAGTAAGATAAGGAGTCACGTCAATTTCTCCATTGAATTTGATGTTGTCGAGATGAGGAACTAGAATTTAAACGATGGATTTTGGAAAAAGGAATTGGATTCGCTCCTGAATGACCGAAATATCTAATGACTCAAAAAGAATGGAAAATCGCCATACCAGTGACGTCAAGTATAGCAGAAGAACTAGCTGAACCATGAGAATTCCTGGCCACAGCCACATACTCGCCAGCATCTTCGACGGTGGTATCAAGAACAATCAGAGCATGGGATCCGCCGCCACAGGACTAAAAATCAAAGTTCTTCCGATTTCTTCAAGAGCAATTTAATGGAGGACAAACCTGAATCTTGACTCGTCCTCCAGGTACGACTTTCCTGCCATTGTGAAGCCATTCAACTTCTGGTGGTGGATAGCCGACCACCAAACAGTCGAATATCGTTGGCATACGGTTGAATACGTGCTTGTTCTTTAGCTGTCGTACGAAACCAGGTGGGAAAGGCATGCCACCCCTGGAAGTACCCCAGTTTAGGGAAGCTACAAGGAACCGGCTTCCCAACCAACGCTACCGTACCTGTCATCAGGACCGTAACCTTCAACATGACGTGGTCGAATGATGCTCAGTACACCTTCGGTTCTGGCTGAGCCAAGCTTGTTAGTGGCTTCCAACGCATATTCACCTTCATCTTTAGGACCTCTGAAACAACCAGCGAATACAGACCTCCTCAATTCTAAATTCAGAACTTTAGCTGTCCATTTCAAACAAAACTCACACGTTGAGCAGCACGAGATGGTGGATACCTCGGTCATCGGTAAAGATCACCATGTCACCATCAGGACCTTTGGATATGAGCTCTTGGCCGTCCTGAACCAATGAGTAATTCAAGGGAGGAAAGTTCATGGGAGGGAAAAAAAGCATAGGATAAGACTTTTCAATGTCGCATATGGGAAAAGACCTACCTTGAACCACTTGACGGTCGGTGTAGGCCATCCGGTGGCACAAACAATCATTTCGACAACATTTCCCTATAAAACCTCAATACTGATTAAAACAAGTGACTGTGAGTTAACACAGAAAATCCCTACGAACACTTCTAAATCGTTTCCTAAAAGGTTTTGGAAAATGGTCGACTGTAATTCATCTCAACCATATTTTTCCTACTTTTTTTTATAGCACTTGAAATCTCCAGTGTCAGCGACAACTCTTTCGACCCCTTTAGAGTGACTTGATCCACAGAGGTGGTTTTTGTGATTCACACACCAACAGCGTTTATACTTCCAGCACATCACTTTGGCCAACAACAAGTCACTGAGCAAAGACGTGCAATGTAATGGGAACCCCAAGGCCGAGTGGCTTCAAGCCGTCTGCTGGATAACAATAGCAACCAATA